ACCAGCGTATAAAGCAGCAGCTCCTCAACACATGGTTGTAGTTACGAAGCTGTGGAGTGCACACGTTTTTGCAGAAGATACCTGGCCGGTGTGCAGCCAGCTGAGATCTGATATCCGGGGGAACTGCGCCACCTCATGGTCCCCAGAGCCGGAATCCAGGGTGGGAGTTGAATCCACGGGGGGACTCCGAGAAGCATCTTCAGAGCCGCCTCTGAGGAGAGCTATAGCAGCTTTATTCACTGCAGGGAAATCACCTCCTTAAGTAAGGCCGGGGGGGATTTGCTCCATGGATTACTGCCTTACTCCAAATAATCCCCAAAGGAACTACTATTCTTCTAAAACAATGGCTAAAGAAGAGCTGGAGATGACTTTGGGCACAGATGTCCCCTGCCTGCTCTGGGACTGTTCCTTAGAGCACACACACCCTTCTCCATGCAGTCCTGCCTTGCCAGCCCCAGTCCCCGTGGCTCCAGCTGCCTCTCTGCAGATGTGAGCTCACAGCCCACAGATCCCGTCCTGGAGAACGGGCTGTCCCAGATTATCAGGTCCTGCTTCCCTTCCCTTTGATGCACTCGAAGTAATCTCCCCCGTTTGACACCCAGGCGGCCCTGCTTTCAGCCTCCTGTTCTCACCCTTCACACTCAGCTGATTGCTGGCCATGACTCCTACAAGCTGTCACTGGGACATTCACGCCTGGATTGTTTTCCCGGTTTTTCCTCTGCAGGAGGGGTGTGTGTGTGGGGAGTAGTTTTCACCTACTTGAGTCCAGCAATAGGTAATCACCTCGTCCTCTCCCACAGCACAAGGAGGACCAGGGTTAAGCAAACCCACCCCAAGCAGGAGATCCAACAAAGTGCTTCTGGCAGTGGCTCACCTGTGCCTCCTGCTGCCTCCTCCTTCTCCAAGTTCAACCGTTTCCTGGGTGACTTCCCTCTGCCTCACTGATCCAGCACCAGCCCTTGTCTGCAGGGGGATAATGACGACAGAGCTGCTGTTAATTTATGCAGTGGCACAAAAGACTGGTGATGTCTCTGACTCATGGCAGGGGCAGTTCTTGGCATCATAAAACACAGAGATGCAGTAACGGGCTTAGAGCCATTTTCATTATCGTTCTGCCTCATCCTCCCTATTCCCTTTGCCTGTCACAGAATCCCAGAATGGTTTGGGGTGGAAGGGACCTTAAAGACCATCTTGTTCCAACCCCCTGAATGAAAGTCAATGAGCTGAATGATGAATTAGATCAAACTAGATAATTAAACTAGGCTCAACCAGACTTCAAATAGAGAGAAAAGTGCCCATAGAGTTCTTTAAGTGCTACGGTCATTACCAGTTGTCCAGGACAAACCACAGATAATACCCTTTAATTCAGTGGATGCAATCACAGGTTTAGGGCAGGGCTTTTCTGTATCTGATTCTGTTTGATTCCTAGATTTGCACATAAAACCTCCCTAGGTTTCTTTTTCAGTGTCCCCCAGGAGCTCTTTTCCATTAGTAAAGAGAGGAGGGACCCATATGTCCTCCCATTCTCAAGTCTGTTATTTGGAGGTGTCAGATCAGACTCAGGGACCAACCCAAGATCTGGGTCCCACCTTCTCTTCCTGCAGCTCCTGGCACTGAACTCAACCTGAGTGTGCTGTCCTGTTTGTCCAGAAGATATGTTGGCCATTTCTGCCACTCCTAGGATTTCTATCTCACACTTGTTTGTCAAAGCCCAACCCATCCCGTGCAGCACTTCCTTTCTGATAACTGCTAAATAATGGAAAGGGGAGAAAACTCTCCAATCCTCACCATTATCTTGAGGGAAGGCTGTTTAAACACAAACTCTCTGATATTTTCTTCCAGGCTCCTCCCCTGAGATACACTCCTGAACATCTCTGGAATTTCCTTGCATTGGGACACTGCCCTGAACAGTCATGGGAACACAGGGAGATTGGGAAGGTGTCATTTCGTGTTGAAAGCTCCTCAGTTTTGTCAGGAATGCATGGAAACAGAGAGTGGTGAGCTCATCTCAGCCTACAGCACTTGTAGGCGCCAGGGAGAACAAATCCCCTGGAAAAGAGCAAAGAGACCATCAGGGAGAGGGGATGGGGATGGGAATCACAGTGTCAGAGCAGGAAACCAGTGCTCTGAAATAGGACCAGTGATGGGTGACAGCAAGAGTCTTATTCCCATTCTGACACCTAAAAAAAGGAGACAGATGAGAAAGTTCTCACAGGCTCTTTGTGTTAAGGAGCTATCATTAATCAGGACCCTAAGAACTGAAGTCACAAGCAGGCTTGGTCACACCTTGATTTCCACCTTGGTGTCTCCCGTTCATGGAAAGCAGCTCAGCCCGTGGACCGTGAGGTCAGCAGGACACCTAGTGGCAAAAATAACACTGAAATACGCCAGGGAACGTACGGGAGTGAAGCTTTGCTTCATTCTTTGCACACCTTGACTATCACCTTCTGCTACACGTAAAAAAAAGGCTGGCTGAGAGGCCGAGTCTGTATTTTTTAACTGATCTGTTGAAAAAATATGTTGAAATGATACTTCCCTATAGCTCCCAAAAGCCCAGCATTATGGAAACAAAGCACTGCTAAAAGCACTGTGCTTCCTGGCTGCCCTCAGCCTCCCGGGGCATTGTTCACCCTGACTGCCTCCCGGTTTTTGAGGAGTGGGAGGTGTCACCATCCTGCCCGGTTCTGGTTGTTTTTTGCTCACGTGTGGAGGTTTCTATGTGCCACTGCTGCTGGGTTGATTGACGTGATCCTGTTACACAGCTCAGGAGTAATTTTTTTTCTATCTGTCCTTTCCTTTTTCTGTTACAAGCTTTTGTATTTTGGTTTTGATGGCACTGGGTTTTGTTTCAAGACTCCCATTGCCTATTGTGTTGAACATCACTGTGTTCCATTTAGTCCAAGCCTGTTCTTCACTGGACACAAACCAGTCACTATTCAGCTTTGACAGCTGTTAAAAAAAAAAACAAACCATAAAAAAACCCCAAACCAAAACTAAATGAAACAAAACAAAAACCAAATAAACCAAACAAAACCTCAATGAAACGAAAACACAAATCAACCAAACCAAACCCAACCCCAACAAAACAACTCAAAAGAAAACCAAAAAGACATTCAAACCCCCCCCCAAACTTTTAAGAATATAACACAGCAATAGGAAAATTAAATTTCTCAGTGGAGCAGGAAACACTGCCACTTTACCTGCAGGGAATCATAGAACCACAGAATATTTGGGTTGGACAGGAACCTTTAAGATCATCCCATTCCACCCCCTGCCATGTGCAGGGACACCTTCCATTAGCCCAGGTTGCTCCAAGCCCTGTCCAACCTGGCCTTGGACACTTCCAGGGATGGGGCAGCCGCAGTTTCTCTGGGCAACCTGTGCCAGGACCTCCCCACCCTCCCAGCCAGGAATTCCTTCTCAATCTCTAATCTAAATCTCCCCTCCTTCAGTTTAAAGCCATTCCCTCTTGTCCTGTCACTGCATACCCTTGTCACAAGTCTCTCTCCAACCTTCTTGTAATCCATAAACCAAATGATTACAGTCTTTAAGTCCCTTCGATGATCCAGAAATCTGAAAATATGTGAAAGACATTTTAATAGCACCTGATTTTAAAGGCACTGGACATGAACACCCAGCTAGGGGTGGGGGCTGCACATTAACCAACTTACACCTGAGGCATCCATGCTCTCCTGCCTCACCGGAAATCCTGGATGCATTTGCTGGTGCCAGTTGCTCTCACTCTTTGTTTTCCTTGCAGGTTCCTACAGCTCCTGAGCACTTTTAGCTGAGCACAAAGGAGGTGGATGTACCAAAGTGCAGGTGGCTCTCTGTGGTGGGCAGAGACTCCGCAGGGCTGTGCTCAAGGCTGCCAAGCAGCACTTCAGCTTTGCCTCCGCTTGCACAGAAGGACCTCAGTGACTTGGAAAGCACTGGGAGAAGGTGTTTTCTCCATGACATCCTAGGGCTGCCCACAATCAGCAGCATGTTGTCAGCAGCCTTTTGTGCTGCCAGGGTCAGGGATGGATGTGCACCCATCCTGCAGGGACTGACAAACCAACCCCAACCCTGAATCATTCTGGTCACAGCAGAGACAGTCCTTAAATTACTGGGCTTGAAGACCGAATTCTCCAGGATAAATTCAGCTGCTTATTTGGAATTATCAAGTCTACTGATCTAGTCTTTTAGTAAGTTATCCAATCCTATCATATGTGTCACACTTCAAAGCTAAAAGAATCCTAATATGCCTGGCTTTTAAACAGGAAAAAAAAAAGGTAAATTAATGACCCTATTTGTCTGCTAGAATATACTAAATTGCCAGGCAGAAATGGTCTTAACAGTTCTGCATGCTCTTCTTATATGTGCTGTTCTTTGACTTGGTATTTTTAGCCCAGTTTCTGAAATAAAAAGGACTTTAAAACCCCTGTAAATGTTCTGGGGTGCTTGTGTGAGTTTATCAAGCTTCCACTAATACTTTTGAACCCAATGTCAATTCCATACAAATATGGGGAAGGAAGGGGAGTCCTGCAAGGTCACAAGAGACCCTGCAGTTGCCCTGGCTACAGCACATGGCTGGATGTGGGCTTACCTTTTATCAGACATCGGAGGATCCTCACAGGGTGGAACAAGATGACCTTCAAGGTCTCTTCCAACCCAAACCACCCTGTGATTCTATAAATAAGTTATAAAATTGGCATGCATCAGGATAGCTGCAAATCTCTTACCTTCCAGCCATTTCATATTTCACCTCCTTCTGCCTGACTGACAGAACTTGCATCAGTAAAAGCACAGTAATTAATGCTATCTCAAAAAACTTCACAAAACCTTCAGCAGAACATGCAGATCAGCAGTGCTACCCCAGTTACCTGTGTCTTCAGACAGTGCTGCTCACTAGAACTGCAAAAACAATAGAGAAAAAACCCTGCCAAAACTCAAAGGCACCTTTACAGAAGAACACACATTCCTAGAGGCACAGCTCTACTGAGAAATTCAATACTACATACAAAGCAATTCACATTTTATTTTAAATTGCAATAAACTGTACAAAAATGTTTCATTCTTGCCAAAAATAACAGCAAATATTTTCAATCTTACTTCTAGACAACGACAAACCCTTATTTTAATCTTTCCTGGGCGAGTTTACAAATAAACATACAACAGGATGCATGGGCCTGTGTCAGAGTCAGGAGGGAGCAAACAGATGTAGATGTTTGTGGAATACGGTTTTTAGTGTCTCTTAGGAATTCCAATACTCCTGCCATGCCTGTTAAAAGCCTAAAGAAATGAACGGTCTGTGTCTCACACAAAGGAATGTAAACAGTCACTGAGGGATTAAAGAGGACGACTCCGCCAAGGAAACCCTAAAGGTACCCCTGTGTCACCGACATTCACTCACACCAGAACCGCCCCGCCCGGGGCTCGTGCAACACCTGAGCCACCCTCCCAAATGCCACTTAAATACACACCAAAGACCCCTTCGAAAAGAAAAGTTTTCAAAAAAGAATAAAATCCTAAGTAACGGAACTGAAATGGATTATACTCCTTTGAACCTTTTGGGTTTTTTTTTCCTTATCCTAATTCATCAGTGAGTATGTAACAGCCCCATCAGACCTACAATCATAAAGTACCTTTCCCAAGATGCAATGAAGTAAAGGAGCACCTGGGTAAGTCAGTCAGGTGTAGGAAGCCCCTCTGCCAAGAGCATGGGCTTATTTTCAGGCTTGATTTTGTTTGCCAAACACATTTAGTGCGGACTAACAACACATAATCTAGGTCACTGACCACAGTTTCTTTAGTCCGAGGCCTAAAATGGAAACACAATTGCAGTGATGTTTTTAATATTTCACATTTTTTTTTCCCCAGCTTTGAAACTTAAATTAAGAACAAGCTGTTTCAACAGATTGGTTAGAGCTTAAAAAATTAAGCATTTTCTGTTACTTCAGAACTGTTGGGGGGAATACCGTCTTGGTGAAATTCTACTTTATCTGGATAGAGTTTAATGTAGGTGTCCACCATCAAATCTAAGTCGTGTTTTATGTCAAAGTTTATGTTCAGCAAGGCCAGGTTGCTGGACCTGTGCTCTGTCAAGGTGTTTTTCAGGTAGGCCTTTAGGCGCTTCCGTCCTATGCCGTATTTTTCATTCTCCACCTTCATCAGTGGAAGTATGCACAAGACCTTAAGCAGTGCATAAACATTGGGGAAAAACTTTATGTCAGGCAAGTGAAGTGCTTCGTAAATAGTAGCTGGAAGTTCAATGTCTTTCCCTCTGTGCTTCCACTTGATTCTCCAGCAGTGCAGCTCAGCAGACAGCGTGTCTGGATTAGGCAAGTCATTTTTGAACATGTCGGCGTGGTGCTCCTCCGACGTGTTGAATTTGAGCTGCCCCATGACTGAGGGCACTAAAGATAGACACTTTAGAGCTTTCAGATGTTGTTCTGAGAATATATCTTTTAGCTCTTGAATAATATGCTCTAATGTGGGGACACTCAGGATTTCTTTGTAGTAGTTTTCTGACGTTATATCGGGGTCAAAGTCCCCCTGTTGTGCCCGGCGGAATTTTCCCGGGAGCTTAATCTGTACATCCAGTTTTGTAGCCAAATTTGTTGCTTCCTCGAACCAAAATTCATGGTAAACTTCAATGTGCTCCATCACCTCATTCAGGGAGTGCAACACCGCTGTTAAGCTGCCAGCTGCAAAGAACACATCTGATGTCTGCCCTTGGAGGTTTCTCCCGAACGCTCTTGTGAAAGACAGAAGGTTTTTCATAATTACAATGGTGACAATGAAGTCAAAGTCTGTCAGCGCACTGGACAGCACAAACGCTCGGCCAGCAATGAAGTTGTTCCACCTGACAGTCGTGTCACTGCTCACGGCATCCAAGCACAGCACCAGGGCCTGCATGAGGTCCACCAGCACCTCAAAGGTATCGTGCCTGCCTGTCCACTGGGAGCGGCAGATCTGCTTCAGCTCGTTGCCCTTCTCCTCATTGTCCTGAAAGAGAGCAGAAATGGTGTTGTCCAGTTCTACCAGTAATTGTGGAGACTGGTTAAAGAGACGGCAAACTTCTTCCATTGTTCCCAGTGCAATGGAAACACCCACCACGGGAACAGATTTTGCCAGCCAGACATTTAAGGCACACGAGGAACACAGCGTATACACAGCCTGGGGATACTTCTCCAAGAGTCTTGTAGCCACCACTTTCATTTTAGAAGCAAACCCACTGGAGACAATGTAGGCTTGACCCCGACAGTACTCCATGTTTAGACCCCACTTCTCAGTAATAGTTGCGTGGAATTTAACGGCCAACATTTCGGGATCAGCCTCGTACGGCAAAAACCCTATGAATTCTTCTCTCAGGTTGTGAGAATCATCCACAAACCTCACCAACACTGGCAAATGCTCCTCTCCTGCTATGTCTACTACGTCATCCGTGACAATGGAGAAGAAGTGAGAGTCTCTGACCTCCCTCAGTGTCTCCTCTCTGACACAGTTCTCACAGATCTCAAGCATTTGTTTCTGCTGGGTTTTCGAACAGTACTCGACATTGACCGCAGTCATCTCAAATCGCTTCCTCAGAACCTCATCACCACCATTTATCCTGTATTCCAGCAGAGCCTGAAAGTTGTCTGAGGCAAAAATACCTTCTGGAAGCTCATCAACAGTATGGCCATCCAAAGGGATATTTTGTTTCCCCATTAGGATCAAGATTTCAAACAGTGATTTAAGGTAATCCTTGTTTTCTCTCTCCTCCAGTGTCAAGGGAACAGCCTCTTCTTCCTGTCCTTGCCCTCCTTCCTCTGAGACAGCATTTTGGGCATTGCTTTCGTTGCATTCTTGAGTTCCCTGTTGCTGTTCAAAAGCTTCATCAACTGCAAAATGAGAAATACTGTCAGTGTCCAGAACAAGAGACAGCATTTGCTTCCCCCTTACTAAACCCATTACCTTTAAGTTACCAGAGGCCAGAGGAGAATGTTTCCACTTTAAAAGTGAATGAGTCCTTTGGAAAGAGTTTGAACTCCATTATCCTCCTGACATGTACAAACTAATAGTTATGTGTCCTGCATAACCTTGTCAGCTTTAGTAAATAAAGTTTTTAATATCTCAATTATTTTGCCCACTTACTCTTTTGCTGCTTCAGTGTTCTTATTTCATCTTCACTCTTAAAAAAAAACACAAAGAGCTTATATTGGTGACAATGTCCTGCACAGGATCTTAACTATTAACACATCAAGATCAGATATCAATATTGTAGATGAGACCAGATAATATTTACCAGAAAGTGCTAGAAAGTCTAAGACAAGGAGGTTTCTTCAGGCAGTGTTTTGCTGCCATTACCTGTATCTGCTAACTACATGAAAATAGTCTGTAACTACTGCTAAGGTTCCTATGCTTATATTAGAAGTTTCTTCAAAATTTATAGACTCTCTTTTCACAGTTTCTCTTTTTACAACTTACTTGCCCTTTTTTATTTTCTTTTAATACTGCAGCAATAATTTTACATTAAAAACTTACCAGCTCTTTTATCCTTTTCCTGTACCTGCTGTGGGGTTTGTTCAGGTGACTCGTAAGATCAAATATGGTTGGCACAGCATTATCCCGTAGAACCGTTCTGTAGGGGCTCTGGAAGCAAACAGAGACTTAGATTAGGGAATTTTATAGAAATTCTCACTCTGTGTGCACAAAAAAAAAAACCACCAAAATTTCACATACTGTGCCCTTTTTTTCCCTCCTCCTTTTCTCTCTCTTTTTTTTTTTTTTTTTTTTTTTTTTTTTTTGTTTTGTTTGTTTTATAGTGTTTTCACTTCCTGATGCTACCAAAGGGAAAGCTGTGCTATGCAATTCACACTCTGGGGATATCAAGAGAACACTGAAAATGAGAAGACAGATACTAAAGAAATTCAAACCCAAACCACAAATACTTTTTTTCTCCCCATTATCTTCACATCAAAGACCCTGGATGCAATAATTTTACTTTACTGCAATATTGTGATAAAAAAAAAAATTAAAAATCAACATTCTGGATAAAAAGACATTTATGCATCAGAAAGGAAGCATTTTGTTAACTATTGTGTGTTGGGTTTTATCACTTATTTCACAATTCTAGACACAACCTACTAAACATTTTCATTGTGAAAATGTTCAATTGCTTCTTTAAGTAGAGCTGTGAATTCTACAAAACACTACTGTGAAAGATTATATCAAAGGGAAATGTATCTGTGAATAGAGCAGAAGGAAGAAAAGACTTGTAGATGGTCATGAGGAAAGAACTGCAGTGAAGGCCAGTGTTCCAAAAACCCTTAAACCAGCAGGAGCAGCTGTTTCTCTCTCCCCTAGCTGCTCATTTCTACTTTACCCTTTGTGCCCACAGCTGGGGGCCTGCGTGGTGTCCCAGACCATGACAGCATTAACACCAAGAAATTAATTTTTCCAGTGATCAATTACCCAGGAGCTCAAAGATTAAAAGGCAGGACATTCTGATGAAAAACACTGCGTTTTGCAAGACGCAATAAATAAATGCTTGTTTTCACTCACACTTCTGCATATCATAGAAGTCTCAAAATGTTTAGCACACAGTCTGTAATGTTTGTTGAGCTGATCTGGAGTTTTGTCTTCTAAGTCTGCCCTTCGACAGTTCTCTACCCATCTCTGGCACCTGCATGTGAGCAAAAGAATTAGAGTCTTAAGATAAAACAAAATCCCTTCCAGTTTCAAACCACACTTTGCAGGTGGTTTTAAAATTTCAAGTTAAGCAGCTTTAAGGAAGGAAGCAAGCAAATATCACGTCTAAATCACAAAAAAGTCAGCCTTAAGCACCTAATGTTAGAAAAGAGGTAACTGGTACTGCCCTACGCCTGTGCACCTTCCAAAACTGTGAGCACCAAGTTAAATCAAACATTCCCATCCCCAGCCCTCCCGCAGCTCTCCACCCCCGGGACCAGCACCATTCCCGGCTCTCTCGGAGCTCTCCATCCCCGGGATGAGCACCATTCCCGTTCCCGGCTCTCCTGGAGCTCTCCATCCCCAGGACCGCTCCCGTTCCCACTGCCGGAGCTCTCCATCCCTGGACCGTTCCCGTTCCCTCTGCCGGAGCTCTCCATCCCCGGACCGTTCCCGTTCCCGTTCCCGAGCTCTCCGCCCCGGACCGTTCCCGTTCCCAGAGCTCTCCATCCCCGGACCGTTCCCGTTCCCAGAGCTCTCCATCCCAGGACCGCTCCTATTCCCACTGCCGGAGCTCTCCATCCCCGGACCGTTCCCTCTGCCGGAGCTCTCCATCCCAGGACGGCTCCCGTTCCCAGAGCTCTCCATCCCCGGACCGTTCCCGTTCCCGGAGCTCTCCATCCCCGGACCGTTCCCGTTCCCGGAGCTCTCCATCCCAGGACCGTTCCCGTTCCCGGAGCTCTCCATCCCCGGACCGTTCCCGTTCCCGGAGCTCTCCGCCCCGCCCCGCCCCGCCCGGCGCGGGGCCCGCCCGCTGCCGCAGCCCCGCGGGCGGCAGAGCGAGCGCGGCCGCGGGCAGAGCCGGGCTGCGGGCACCGGCACGGCGGTGAGCGGGAGGGAGAAGGGCGGAGGGAGGGAGGGAGGAAGGGAGGGATGTAGGCGCCTGCCCGCCGTGGTGCCGCCCGGCCGGGCCGAGGGCAGAGCCGGGCGCTCCGCGGCCCCCGCCGCGGGCTCACCTGGCCGGGTCCCGCGGGAAGCGGAAGAAGGCCAGGTCGGACTGGGTGCTCTTGCGGGTGCAGTTGGGCGCGGCGCAGAAGTTCGGCATGGCGGGCGCTGCCCCTTTAAAGGCGCGCGGGGCGGGCGGGCCGGAGGGGCCGCGGCGGCTCCACAGTGCTGTGAGCGGCCCGGAGGAGTCAGCGCCGCGCCGGGGCCGCCTCCTTCCCACACTGCCCCGCGCCCGGGGCACCGCGCCGCGCCCGCGCCTGCGCTCGCCGGGCCGCCGCCGCCGCCGGGCCTCTGGCGCATGCGCGGAGAGGCGGCTGGGAGTGCCAGGCGGTGTGGGCTGAGGGCGGGCGGTTGTTGTAGCGTTCCATTGCTATTGCCGTCCGTAATAACACTGAAAATACGCGGTGTAATAACGATAAACGGTGTAAAAATAAACCCGCGGTGTAATAATGCTGAAAATGTAGTGCAAAACAACCCGCTCTGTGTGCGTCTGGGTGCGAGCTGCCTGTCTCCTCCCAGGTTGCGGGTCAGGGTGCCTTTATCCTCCGGTCGCCCTGCTGAGGTGTGGCGGTGCACTCCTGCGCGTTTCCCTCTGCTAAACGTTTGCTCCCGAGAGAATATTTGAGGTCTGAGAGGCTCTCCTGGCTGTTCTCACTGTGGCATTCCCTTGCAAGCCTCACGGCCCCGTTGTTGGGATAACTCGTGTGTCAGAACTAAATAGACACCGGGTTAACCCCACAGAGCCACTTTTTGTCTTTGTATCCCAGCTCCTCCCTCAGGGTTCACTTTCTGCAAATTAAAGTTAACAACATCTACAGCAACATTAAGAGTTTATCAGACCCAATTCCCGTTCCATTTTCCCAATTTCGATTGGATCTTTTTAGGGTTCCGATTCAAAGAATGATGGTTTCCGTGGGTTTTCCATCAGGTTTCACTCTGAAACAGTCACATCACCATGATGGGGTTAAGAGTGAGAGGGTCTGAGCCATCTTTTCTTTCCCTTTTTTGCTTGCCCCACCCCAGGTTGTCTTCATTTGTCTGCTCAAGCCTTTGCTAATTAATCCCCAGTGTTGAAATCCTCAAGCACGGGAACTTTTGTCCGAAGCTTCACTGGGAACTGCTCAGTGACAGCAATATCAGCCTCTCTGCTTTGCAAATGCTTTCCCATTGCTGTTTTCACCCTGCCACAGCACTGTAAGTTTAAGTGAACTTTCACTTGCAAGGTGTCCCAGGACCAATGTAATTTCTGGTTTTTATATCAGGATTATTTATATTTCTAATTTCTTAATATTCTCTCTTTCCCCCAGCACCTATAGCACACCAGGCCTTGTGAAAACAACTGGTCAAAATCGGGAGCAAGGAATTTGCTGAGGAGTTGATTTGGGCTTAAAAGCAACAGACAGTCTGTTGGTGGGTTAAAAGTGCAACTTCAGAGAGAGAAAATGCCAGCTGCCCTAAAGTCCCAGGCATATCAAGTCCCAGAGGGGCTGAATTCTGCCAGTTGCTGGTCTGGGACATGTTCTTTGAGTGGCAGCAGTTTGTCAGAGATACCCAGGATTTGTAGTGAGGCCACAGATAAGGGCTGAAGTGGCTCAGAGGAGTGATAATGTTGATATTTCCCCTTATTCTGAGGCTTCCTATCCCAAGGAGTGGCTTTGCTTCCTTCCTACCAGGTTTATGTGTTCCTTGCCAACACAGCACACCACAGAGGGTGGAGGTTTGCCTCTGCCTCCCCAGATTGCAGAGGGTTCCAGCTTTAATTCCCCTGATACGCTGCAGAATGACCCAGGGAAGGGATTTTTGTCATTATCCGAGGTTACATAATCGAGATTTTGCCTCGGTGTAGCAAAGTATTTAAGTGGATGCTCAACTGGATACACAGTGGCATTTTGATGCCTTTTTGAGCCTTGCTGAATTTAGATACTTTGAGCTGAGAAGCTGTTGGGATTTGTAAAATAGATTTGTTTGTTGAATATAATATGTATTATAATAGAGGGAAGGAAGTATCTATTGACTGGCGACACAAAGCTATCTCTTGTGAAAGCAGCTGAAATATCTGTGTGGATTTAAATGCAAATAGGCCTGGGTGACAATCTCTGTCTGACAAGGTTGCATGTAAAAGGCTCCTCTGGCAAGGCGCCAGCGCCCAAACATCGCTGAGGCTCCTGCTCTGGGACGGGAGAGTAACGAGGAAGAGGGAATTTAGGAGTGGTGTGAGGGCAACAGAATGAAGTTAAAGAGAGATGCTCGCGTCGGAAGGACATCTCGAGTCACCGACCGACCTCTCGAGATTTACCGCGCTGTAGGAACAACAGGAGAGCCCAGCCCGGGGGGGCCGGGGGAGGGAATTTTCCAGCCGTTTCTTGCAGGCACTTTCATGGATGGGATTTTATTTTATATATATATATATATATATACTTCCTCACTGCAATGATTTTGTGCAGCCACGAATCGGGTGCCGTTGCTTTCCAGCTGCATTCCAGAGGCAGTTTATTTTGTATTTCTACTCCGGCCTGAGGGCTTTTAAACAGATACAGTTTACTGTTTGGGTTTTTTTTTTTTTCGTGGAAATGCGCAGGAAAGCAAGCGCTGATGGCTGTGAGGGGCCGTGCCGGTGGCGGGGCCGGAGCCGCGGGGTCTGTTCCCTTTGTTGTTGGCTCACACGCGGTTCGCCGCAGCCCCGCGCGCCGCCGCCGGCACCGCTTTCAACTCAGGAAGCTGGAAGCGACCAAGAGCCGCCCGGGCTTTCGCTCCAGGAGCGGCGGTGGGATGTCAATTCCCCACATTTCCCAGTCCGCGCAGAGGACGCGCGCGGTGTTTTGTCCGCTCCCGGTGCCCGTAGCCGCCCGCCGGGGCCATGGCGGGACAGTCGGCACCCCTCCATGAGACACCGAGAGAACTACAGCTCCCGGCGTGCTCGGCGTCGCCGCGCACGCGCCCCGCGCCATCCCGGCGCCATCTTGGCACCCGCTGCTGCCATCTCCTTACCGTCGCGGAGCGGGGGGAGACTACAACTCCCGGCGTGCCCAGCGGCGAGCCCGCATGCGCAGCGCGCCGCTGCGCCATCTTGGCTCGGGGAAGCGCCGCCGTCGCCAAACAAACCCGAGCGCGGCCCCGGGCGCGGAGCGGGACCGAGCGGGACCGAGCGGTCCGGCCTTCGCCGCGCCGCCCATGAGCCGGGCACGGCCGGACAGGTGAGGCCCCCGCCCCGCAGGGCTCCGCCGCGGGGGCGCGGGCAGCTGCGCTCCCCTGGACGGCGCGGACCCGCCGCCCCCCCCGAGCCCGGGGCAGCTCCCCGTCCGCGCCCGGCGCTGGCAGCAGCGCCCGCTCCCCCTTCCTCCCTCCCCGCGTGCTTCCCCCGAGCCCGGCCGGGCACAGCGCCCAGGGGCCGCGGAGGGCGGGCGGGGTGTGCCCGGGAGGCGCCCTGGTGGGAGACCGACCCTCCGTCCGTCCGTCCGCCCACCCGTCCGTCCGTCCAGCCCCGCGCTCGGAGGCGCCCGGGCTTTTGTTCCCGGTGCCACCCCCACCGTGCCGAGCCCCCGGCTCCTCTTTTTCCTGTGTTCGTCCCGGTGCAGTGGGAGGCGCTCCCGCCCCGCCGCCCCCGGTCCGTGGTGCTCCGGGACTGGGAGGCGCTCCCGGCGCTGGGTGGCTGTTTTGGAGAGGGGGAAGGGGCTGGTGTTGGTGCGTGGAAAGCGGATTTTCACGGTGCTTTTGCCGTGCTGCCGTGTGATGGGCTGGTGCAAAATGCGTTCCCCGGGGAAGGAGCGTGCGGCGCGCTGGGAGAGTTCCCGCAATAGGCGCTTGTGCATAATGAGAGGGAGGAGGCTGAGCGGCGATCCCGAGAGCGGCGCTTCCCGGCGGGCAAAAGCCTCGAGAAGGAGGAGGGGAATTCGGTAAAAAGGCTCGGGCGATGATCTGAGCGAGCCAGTGTAGGAAATCCGTACCCTTGGGAAACCGCCGGATTCCTGCGGGCCGCTGCAAAGGAGGGAGCGAGGACGGGAGCGAGCGTGTCCTGGAGTCAGGAGCAGGCTGAGAGGAGTCCGCGTTCATCGGCTTGGGAAATCGATGTCTTATGGACTTGGTCTCACAGCGTTTCTATTCCTTTTCCAGCGAGGCTGAGCTGTGTGGGAGCACTGCCGCGAGGGAAGGATGCCTGTGGTGTGGCCGACCCTGCTGGACCTCAGCAGGGATGAGTGCAAGAGGGTCCTCCGCAAACTGGGTACAGTAAGATGCGATTTGTGGGTCTGTATGTTTGCCCTTCTGAGATTTGCCTGCTTGTTGCTTCCTTGGAATAATATATCTACAGGCAACTTGCAAGTAATGTCCTGCATCTTCCACGTGTCGTTGGTTTGACAGCCCTGGCTCAGAATGTTAAAATGAGGTTCGGTGGATGCTCTCAGCCCCAGCAGAGTGAATGGAGGAGGATGGTTTTGGTTTGGTCCAATCTTTTGTGGATGTCCTGGCTGCAGTGTTGCACTGCTGGGGTTTTTTTATCACTGTTACCGTGGTATGAGATGCTCTGTGAGGAGAGTCTTTGGGCTTGTTTTGTTTTGTTTTCCCCCCCTTCCCCCAGTTCTGTGTTTAGACACCTTTTGGTACCCAAAAAAATATATTGTGGAACCCTGGCTTAACTGGCACTGTAGGACTGGGTTCCAGTATTAAAGTTAATACTGTGAACACTTCAAACAGGGGGGAAAAGAAATGGTGCTGGTTTGTGATCTGCAGTGGCACATGTTGTCAGGGCAGGGGGAGAATCATGTCCTGGCTCAGCTGCCATAGCCACAGGAACTCTTTGTGTTGTTTCAAGTGCAGCTCAGTGTCTGAGCCCCCTGCCCAAGACGTGGGTACTGGGAGATGGTTTGTGCTCTGCCCTCGTGGGTCTGTGTGTATAAGGAGAGATGATTTTCTATTTTGTAAAGTAATAAAAACATTTCCTCCTTCCTCAGGCATCTACTTTTGGCTGCCCCAGTAGAGAGAATCCTTTATTAGACCTTTGATCTGATCCAGAAGAGTTGGTTTTGAGTTCTTGGGGCTGAGTTTATTTTACTAAGGGGATTTCTAGCCAGTTAAATGATGCATAATACTAGAAGGGAAGAAAAAAAGTCTTAGATTTATTTTCAGACTTTATTCTAAAGACCATGATGTTGGAGATGATGTCAGGAAGAAAACTGAGCTCCCTCTGACTTCCTGTGACCGTCAAGTGACAGCTTT